TTTGATCTTGTGTGAATGTTTGTGTTCCAGGAACTAGCTGACCACAAACTGGGAAAAAAAACCAATTACTGGCAAAAACCATATTTTAACTAAGGTCAGCAGCAGGTAACTGACCTAAAATTGAACTTCTCCTTTTCCAAAGAGCCAATGAGCTAATTCCACGCCAAAGAACCCCTAGACCTAGTATAAATTCCCTTGCTTTTTGGGGCTCGGGGTCGACTTCCCTGTCTCCTGTGTGAGATACAAGTTGTCCCAAAGCTTCGTCAATAAAAGCCTCTTGTGATTGCAGCAAATGGATCTGGTATGAGTTGCTTGGGGTCACGCCCGGTCTGGGTAAAGCCCTAATTTGGGGTCTTTCAAGCACAGTCCTGACACAGGACAAGTCTGGATTGTCTCCATAGAAACTGCTTAAAGTGAGATCAATAACCTTTAACTATGACCTTTGCTCTAGAAAGAGTTGTGTCACTAAAGGAGAAACTTGGGTTTCGTTGCCAAGCCTGACACAGCATTAAGTAATACTCAGAAGCTTGCCAAAGATATAAATTCCTTCTCTATGAAACAATTTTTCATAGTAACATTAGGTACTGTTCCTTACTTTTTACCACTGCTAGAGAAAGCAGAGAAATAGTACTATGGGGAAAAGTAATGGAAAAGCAGAATTAAGTGCCAAAAAGGTCAGTGTTAATAATTTTACATCAAGCATTAAATTTATAATTACAATGCTAATGCTATAATCATTCTTTCAATATTTATCTGAAGGTAAATGTATATCTGTATATGTGTTGTGTTGTGTTGTGTTGTGTTGTGTAGTAGAGTCAGAAATGATCCATAGCTGACCCTCCAGAGGGTTTTCGGAAGTAGCTTAGACATTATATATAAAGATACATCTATATGTGCATATATACATATAGGATGCTACGTAAATTCTCCTCTTGTGTGATTTACTGTCAGAAAATACACCTGAGGGTCAGCTATCAGTCAGTTTCAGCTTAATGGTACGTAACAATTCAAATTTTCGCACTTAACTCAAGTTCACTTTTCCTCCAACTGTTGTCATATTATTTTACAACTTCAGTATCCATATGGCTAATCCTTCCAGTATTCAGGCTTCTCAGTTCTTGGGTTTTCTTTTCATTCCTTTGTGGTTCTGGAGAAGAGTATTAAATGTACCATAGACTGCCAAGGGAACTAACAGGTATGACCTGGAGAGGGTGAAACCAAGCTTCCTTGGAAGCAAGGATTTTTATTTTTATTGTATTTTATTTTATTTTGGAAGCAAGGATTTTAAAGCTCTGCCTCACATACTTTGGGCATGTATCCAGAAGGGACCAGTCTTGGGAGAAGGATATCATGCTTTGAAAGGTTGAGAGACAGCGCAGGAAAGGCCGTGGATGAGATGAATTGACACAATAACTGGGATAATGGGGATAGGTGTGTCAGAGACAATGAGAGTGGCTCAGGATAGAGCAGGGTTCAGCGCTATTTTGTATAGGGTCCCCTGTGAGTTATAATTGACTTGACAGCACATAACGACAATCCTCCCAGCATTCTGGCTTCTCAGTTCTTGGTATTTTTTCCATTCTTGTTCTTTACTCTGTTGCAGACACAGACTTCCATGATAAAGGGTCAATAATCTTAATTTTCTTTGCTAACTTGCTTAACGTGGGTGCTGAAGTTAAGTTTCTTGGAAACCAATCATAAAGTTGAAGGTTGTAGTCCATTCAAAGGTCCCACGGAAGAAAGGCTTGGTGATCTTTAAGAAAATTCAGCCATTGAAACCCATCAGGTTGTTGATAAATCTTCCTGCAGTTCTGACACCACATTCTTCTTCATATAGCGACAACACAGCTTTTCATATAGTCTGCGTCGACATTAGTGTAGAGTGAGCCCTAAGTCAGTATCTTGAGATATAAGAGGACAGATTAGGCAAGCAGCAGAAAAACAAGAGTTGGAGAAGTCAGATGTTAAGCCACATGAAGATTACTAAAGAACAGAAGAAAAAAAAAGCCCTATGTACTTTCCAAGAGAAAAAAAATGTTTATTAAAGCCGCCTACTTGTATTTTTGTTAGAGCGGCACTCAGAGATACAGAGAACAGCTATAGAAGGTTGTGGGCACTTGTGGTTTCAGCAGCTATAGAGAGTACTAGTACCTCTGTTTTTATTCATCGTCGATGGTGTGATTCTAAAAGCAGCAGTGGCAACGGCTCAGCATCAAGTGTGAGTTCATAGGCTCTAGTGCTAAAGGAATAAGGAGTTTCCCAATGAGTTGGCAACAGTCTTATTCTTTCTTCCATACACTAACTAAGGTAATGGGGGTAGGTGTGCCAGAGTCAGTAAGACAGGCTCAGCACAGGGCAGGGTTCAGAGCTATAAGTTACAGGTGATTTGACAGCACATAACGAAAACACTACTGCTAAAAGTCCCTTAGATTAGATCTCTTTCTGACTTATATAGGATGTTGTGTTAGTTACCTTAAATAGACCCTTACTGACAGAAGCACTATATTCATTCATTCTTTCGTCCATTTAACATTCACTGACTGCCTATTAATGTGATGGATACTTAGAAAACAAATAGATTACGATCTCTGCCTCATGAAGCCTGTACTAGTCAGAAGCTGGCAAATATTTACACAAGATGATCTTACATTGTGATAAATTCTACAAAATCCCCAAGTACTTTAGGTAATAAATGTCTCTTTCAAATAAAGTCAGAAAGCAAAGGCAAGCAGCTCCAGGCTTTTATGGTTACATCTAGTAAGCCCAAGATTACCAAGAGAATGTAAGATTGAAAAAGAGCTCTGGTGATCTAGTGGTTAAGAGCTATGCTGCCAATACGTGATTCAAATCCACCAACTGCTCTGAGGGAAAAAGATGGACATCTCCAGTGTGATTGGCCCATTGCCTCTGAATACCTGCTAGAGAGTTGGCAGGTTGGCTTGCACTTGATTACACAAAAGAGCATCCTGCTTGGTATCTAGGCTAAGAAGTTTTCACAAAGAGGCATAAAAACCTGGGCCATCCACCAGCTTTCCAACTTTATGTCATAGCAGTCATCTTGGGATGTTCTTATTGTAATTATGTGCTGTAGAGTTGTCTGCGATTCATAGAATTCGACCCTGTCCTAAGCCAGTCTCATTGACTCCGACACACCTACCTCCACTGCCCTAGTTACTGTATCAGTCCATCTCATCCAGGGTCTTCCTCTCCTACGATGTCCCTCACCCTCCCATACATGATGTCCTTCGCCAAAAACCAGTTCCTCCTGTCCTTGTGCCCACAGTGTGTGAAACAGAGCTTCAAAATCCTAGTCTCCAAGGAGAAACTCGGTTTCACCCTTTTCAAGACAGACTTATTTGTTTTCTTGGCAATCCATGTTCAAGACTCTTCTCCAGCACCACAACTCAAGGCATCAATTCTTTTCTGTCATCTTTAGTCACTGTCCAGATCTCTGATGTATAGCAAATTGGGAAAATCATAGCCTGAATCAGGCGAATCTTAGTCTCTAGACCGACATTGTTGCTTCTTAGTACTCTGGAGAGGTCCCTGACAGCAGATTGTCCCAGCACAATTTGTCTTTTGATTTCCTTATTGCTGATGCCAAGAGTGTTGATTGTGGAGCTGAGCAAACTCTGGTAGCCTAATGGTTAAGAAGCTGCATTTAATCATTAAGGCATGTAGTTTGAATCCACCAGATGCTCTGCAGAAGGCTGGGCAATCTACTCCTGTGCTCTCAGCTGCCTCTGAAAATCCGCTGAAGAAAGGGTCAGCTATGGGTCCATTTTGACTGGAAGGCAAACAACAATATATATAGTTATATGAACTATATATGTACAAGTATATATTCTTAGGATACAAGGTCTAATTTAAACAAGAATATAATTTTTAAGTATAATTTTGCAGGCAGGTACCTATTTCTGCCCAGAGATTTCGATAGGGTCATCCTGAAGGGTGTTCTGGTAACCTAGTAGTAAGAAGCTTTGCTGCAATCTTGAAGTCATGGGGTTTTAAATGCGGCAGCTGCTCCGTGGGAGTAGGATGGGCAATCTCCTCCTGTACATTAACTGCTGCTGTAAATCGGCCAGAAGGGTCAACTATGACTCCTCTCGCACTCCTAAGGCACTTTCCACATTCACACAGGCTCTCCTCGGCATCGAGTGGAAACCAACTCACAGCGGATCCTCCAGCGAGTTTTCAGAGACTGTAAATGCCAGGAGATTGGCCCTTTTTCTTCCTGGGGCCACTGGCAAAATGGAAACAGAATTCACCTCTCCGCCTTCGGGGTGGAACTGTAACTCTCTATGGATTATGCCCCAGTCACTCTTGAGGACACTAATAAATGACCCTTGAAAGGCCAAGTCTAACTTCGAGTCGAGTTTAAATTCAATTTTGCGGAGCACAGAAAGTACTGAAGTTTGATTATAAATCCTTTGTTTAACAACTCAGCCTACTTCGAATTTTTAAAACATTTGGGAATGACAGGTTAACAGGAGAAAGGCCAATTATTCCTCCACCGTCCAGCTCAGCCAACTGATGGAGCCCGAGCTCAGGCGCCCTCTCACCCGGAATGCGGCCCGCGCCATGCTCCGCCCTCTGTGCCCATGCCCCGGTGGGTCCCAGCCAGCCCCCCGCCTCTCCACCTGGGCGGTCGGGCTCAGCTCTGCCCGGAGGAGGGGTGGGGCGCATCTTTTGAAACACCAAAGAATAGTCGGAAGCGAAGGATTTCAGGTCGTGGCTCTCAGGACCAGTCAGATTTCCGAGAGCCTCTAGATATTCTCTCTGAAATCGCCCTGATAGCCAACCTCACCGTAGAAACATTTGGAAAGGCTGCGCCATCGTCCCCCGTTCGACCGTAACTCTTCGACTTTCCCGCATCCGCAGCCTCCTAGTGGGGAGGCCGATCTCGCGCACCGCCCAAGGCCTCCCCCCAGAGGGCGGGACCAGCTGGCTGTCTTTCTCGCCCGCCTGGCCACCGAGCTCTGCAGTTCGACTGGGGCCAGAGCGGTATCAACATGGCAGCGATGATTCGGCGAAGCTGCGGGGTGAGAAGGAAACCAGGGTTGCGGTAGTGCAGGGGAATGGATGTTGTGATGTTTGAGGCGGTGGGCATTGGGCAGAGAATAGAGGGGCTGGGAGAGGTGGCGAGAGAAGAGTCTGTTGTCTCTGAGCCCCCCGTCCCTCCGTTCACCATCGCCGACCACCTTGCGGAATCCCAGACGCTCCTCTTTGCTTTCACCCACCTGCTTCTCTCAGCATGGACAAGATACATCCCAGGTTTTCACTTTTCATGTGTCCTTCGGGCAGCCGATCCCTACATAGGCGTTCTCTTATCTTTTTTGTCCTTTCTTTGGCCTATGAATTTTCCTTAAACTAAGAATCTTACCTGTTTTTAACGTGAACTGGTCTCAGATTTGAAAAGGGACTCAGAACCACAATGCTGATTCGACTGTTCTACTGACATGGCATCTCTTTGAGAAAACTTTCCCTACCCTCTCATAGAGTCACCTACTAAGTGATTTCCCTCCCATCCAGGCCGGGAGGGAAATCGTAAAGAAGATGACTTTGTAGTTGAGATGCAACAGGAAGTGTGGAATGGAGACCTGTAGGCTTGTTGTGAGTCTCCTCAACTCAGTGGCACATAACAACAACAACATCTCGGGGTAGAGAGGAGTGGAGCAGCCAACCTTTAGGATACTTAATATGTTTAATACTCTTCTGGTTGTGTAATACGGAGGCGGAGGCTGTGGCGTGGCATACGTAAAAAAAAATTCACAGACCTTTTCTTGCAACTTATCTATACAATAATATATTCTAGCATTATTAAAAATTCTAACTAGCACCTAGATGCATGCGTTGGTATATTTACAAAACTTCCATTTGAATATTATTTAAAGTTCAAGTTGTGTCTTTGACCAAAAGTATCGCAGTTTTCGAATACAGAATAATGGATTGTGGCTCACACGTTTTCATTTCTATGCAAGTTAATGGGCTCTGAAGGAGGCGGGGGGGGGGGGGGGAGAGAATTGCTGTGTGTTTAACTATTTATAACTCCGAAATCAGGTAAAAGGACAATTTAGAGATTTCTCAATCCTCTGAGGAAAGAGAAAAACCTAATCTCAGAAACTCTTTTCCCTTCATTTGTTCTCTGGCACATCCCTAAAACAAAGACTCACATGCTCTTAAAAAAATGGTCAGAAAATTCAAAATAGTACCTCATTTTAAGTCATAGTGACTAAAAGCTACCGGAAGTTGTAACCTGTCCCAAGGTCACAGTGTTACGGAGTGTAGACGTAAATTCACTTATTATTTCTGCTATTTCCACAGTGCCACTTCTCTTTGATTAAGTGGCAAACGTTTGTGCATTGTGAAAATTGTGTACAATTTGTGTAAACTAACTTTATAAGTTATTTGAAAACCACTAAGTAATCTTCCACTCAAAATTTTTCAAATAGACAATTTCGCCTGTTTTTGAAGTCTGATTTTTGTACGGTAGTGTTTAGATACATATTTATAGTAGAGTGAAATTATTTGATAGTATTTTAGTTGGGATTTTTGTTTTTTCTTCCTTTTTTTAAATCTAGACATTTTTCTTAAACTTTTTATTTTTGTTTTTTAAAATTCTAGTGTGTGTGTGTGTGTGTGTGTGTGTGTGTGTGTGTGTGTGTTTGTGTGTGTACCGTTGAATTGGATCCAACTGGTACAGGAAGAGATTGTCCCTCCTTCTCCAGAGGAGCATCTGGTGGATTCGAACCACGAGCCTTTGGGATTGCAGTGCAGCTTCTTGCCAGGAGGTCACCAGAGCTCGGTTTTCCTTTCTTCTTTGTAGAGTCTAATGGCCAACCAAAAAAAAAAAACAAACACCCAGCCACCTTAAACTTGCTATCTGAACCAACTGTCTCATATAGCAAGGTGGTGATGACACTAGTCCCTGATGATAAATGTGAGAATTTTGAGTTCAGTGATCTTAGGTAGACTCACAAAGATCTTGACCTTTGTGTGTCTCACATCTTTCATATGCAAAATAAGATTAAAAATAGTTTATGAGTCGGAAAACCATAAAGTTTATTTACTTGTTTTAGGATGTTTGTGTAATGGTAATAATGGTCTGGAATCAGAATTAAAGTATCTCCAAGATATGCCTGTAATGAAAATTGGATAGAAAATATCAAATTATACTTTGTATGTTTTTCAATATTAATATTATAATAGATTACTGTGGGATAACTGTATAAATTAAAATATTATATTTGACAATCTAATTTTGTTGTACTTCCTTGCCGTTGTCATAGCTGACCTTTCAGCAGGTTTTCAAAGTTAGTAGATAGTAGAATATCGCCAAGGAGAAACTGTGGATTTGAACTACTTGCCTTTGTTTTTGGCAATGCAGCTCCCTACCCATTAGGCCAGCTGAAAGGGAAGTGGTTCTTTTTTTAAGATGTCATCTGTAAAATGGACAGTTTCTTTTTACAAATTCTATAAAATAAATTCAAATATTGATATTTTAGTATATTGTTCTTTTGTCATTTAGCTTATCAGAATTGTTCCATCACAGTCCTTAAAAGTTTAAATTGTATAATGTTGGCTGTTTTATATTTTTCTAGAAGCACCTTTGAGTTTTTCATGTGATAACTTCAATAAAACAGTCACTATAAGTGTTGCATATTAAACTCTCTTAAAAATAGAAATACAGCAGCAGCAGTAGCAGCAGTGGTGAGTGGTCAGAAAACACCTCCTCATTCAACGAGCCTGTTACCTACCTCCTGGTACATGCTTCAGGTGTGGCAAAGAGGGTCAGTGGGCTAACCGCTGCCCTAACCCTCGCCCTCCTACATGGCCTTACCCTTATCTGTGGGACACGGGCCCATTGAAAGGCCAACTGCCCTTCCATGCTTAGCAGTAGGAGGGCAGCCCCTCCACCAAACCCAGTCCCCATCCCAGCTGACCTCTGAGGCCTGACCACTAAAGACTGAAAATGCCCAGGTTCGAAGACCCCTCTCACTATTGCAGAGGCCAGGGTAACCCTTCAAGTAGCAGGCAATTATTCCGGGAACACATGACCACTGCATACCCAGACCCTCACCTGAAAGTCTAAACCAGACAGCTAGAGTCACCCCATGAGATGCCATCCTCACCAACCCTGTCATCATCAAATGACGTGCACCCAAACCTCTTCAACCACGCTAAGATAGACTTTACACAGTCATCCTAACTGCCCCCACAGCAGTTAAGGTCGATGAAAGAAATGACCAACTTGAACCAGCCGCTGTGACATCCATATTCTCCTCTGGCTACTGGTCTTGGGCCATCCAAATCCAGCCTCTGAGCCCGGGATCTTCGCCTCTTTTTAGCAGGAAGTAGCCGGAAAGAATACTTCTCCCTTTTTTTCTCACTAAAGAGGCTGGAATGTCAGGCCGAGACCAAAGTCAAAGGGAGAAGGAAGGATTCAAAGAATATCAACACATCAACAAAGGGAGTGAACAGCCTTACCCATGTTATTAAACTACCATGGAGTGCCCCTCCCTTCCCTCCTTAGAAGACCACCCACCTGGCTAAAACACAATGGAATGTCCCTCCCCTCCTTAAAGACTCTTACTATAAAGCCTGCTCTAATCCACTTCAGGGTGGGGTATTTCCCTAGTGTCTCCTTCTGCCTGTCTCTCTCTGAAGACCAAGGAATCCCACACAGGAGATGCCTTAATAAAGCTTCTTTAGCTTCCTTTCAAAAAAAAAAAAAAGAAGAAAACATTAGAAGCACTAAAAGGACAACTTTTAAAAGAATAAGCAAAAGGAAATGTTAAACTACAAAAAATAGTATATTAAAAATATAGAATACCTACAAATGCAAATATAACTTAAACTGAAAAAAATAGAAATACATTACAAACATGAACAATTATCTATCCTTTTAAAAATATATGAGTATTTTAAGACACTTAAGCATAATACAATGATTAATATGTTAATCATGTAGAACAGAGTTGGCAAACCGTTTTCTTTTTTGCACAGGACCAGATAGTATAAACTTTCTGGCTTTGTGAACCATATAATCTCTGTAGTAACTACTCAACTCTACTATGGAAGTATCAAAGATGGTGTTCTTGCGTTTCAGTGGGTCCCCTGGGTGACAAACAGTTTGCACTCTACTGCTAACCTAAAAGTTGGTGATTTGAACCACGCCAGTGGTGTTACAGAAAAAAAGGCCCTGGTAATCTTCTGCCGTAAAGATTACACCCAAGAAAACTCTGTGGAACAATTCGGTTCACTAATGTGTGGTCACCATGAGTTGGGGAATGCACTCAAAAAGAACAGGTTTAGTTTGAGGGGTTTGATGTTCCAGTAACATTTTATATATAAAACTGCTAGTCACCATAATTTGCTGATGCGTGAATGAAAACATTGTAAGAATTTTTATAGATGACAGTTGAAAATATAGAACATAGTTTTATGTTAAATTTCCTGTTAGAGAGAGTGAGGTATATTAGAAATAGGATCCTCCATAGACAAGATTTCCAGAGACATCTCTAGAAGTTAAGAGTGACAGGATATCAAAATTGATGGATGAATTTAATGCCAGTTACACTACAATTTGATCCTGAAGTTACCCCCAACCCAGTCATCAATTCCTTAAGTACTAATAAGTGAGATTTATTTAATAATAGCTTTAAATCATTTGTCCTTGCCTATTTTCCTGAAAACCCTATGGCTGGTACCACTTTTTAAACAGTTTTTTTATTTCATTCTTCTTACTTTTAAAAAAATAGTTCCTCTCTAATAACTATTAGTTGGCTTGTTTAATTTATAAATCAAATTACAGTTGAACGCATCTCTAAGTAATGATGACTTTGAAAGCTTTTTTATTCACTGTAGTCCAGTTTTATACTCTTATTTAATTCATCATTTACCAAATTCTAATAAAAATTTTTTTACAGGTTCTGAGAAGTATTTCTCGTTTTGACTGGAGATCACAACATACAAAAGCTGCTCCACAACATGAACCAGGATTAGGATTTAGTTTTGGTAAGTCTTTGTTCTGGTTTTAAATTTTAAGCTTATATTTATTTTATTTGTGTATATACATTTAAAAGACGTATTGTGATGAGAGAGTCTGTTGTTGAGGGAGCTCTCTAAAGTACTGAAGAGCAATGGTGTGTCTCTGGAGACTAAGGTGCATCTGGTACAGGCCGTGGTCTTTTGAGCTTTAGTTTTGGAGAAGAGTGCTGAGGGTACCATGGACTGCTAAGAAAACAAACAGATTTAGCCTGGAGAGCATTAAACCGGGCTCCTCCTTGGAGGCAAGGATTCTGAGACTTCCTCTGACATACTTTGGCCATGTTGTAAGGAGGCCATGACCTTGGAGAAGGACATCATGCTTGGGAGGGTGGAGGGCAGGTGCTGGAGGGGAAGGCCCCCTGGGAGGTGGATTGATTCGGTGAGTGGGGCAATTGGGATAAGTGTTGGAGACAATGAGATTGGCACAGGACAGAGCAGAGTTTAGAGCTGTTGTACACAGGGGTTGCTGTGAGTCGCAAGCGACTCGACGGCACATAACAACAACATATACACATACATATGTGGCTTTATATATATTTATCTGAACTGTGTTCAGTAAGCTGATTTAATAATGTCTGTCAATGAATAAGATCCATCACTGCCTACAGAGAGTGTTCAGCGATGTCTGGTGGTAGGTGATCGTTGTTGTTGTTGTTACGTGCCACCACAGCTCAAAGGCATCAATTCTTCTTCTGTCATCCGTATTTCATTGTCCAGCTCTTGGATGGATAACAGGTAGTTGGAAAGACTAAGATCTGCATCAGACGCACCTTTATTTGATCTATGATAACAATGTGTATATATTACAAATACATATAAATATATGTATACCTTGCCTTCTTCCTAAGAGCTCTGGTGGTAGACTATAATGTGCTGTACTGCTTACCAAGAAGCCACACCTCTCTGACAGTTCTAATCCACCAGTGGCTACTTGGGAGAAAGACACACAGTCTTCTTCTGTTGTCATCTATAGTCTCTGAAAACTCACCAGAGCTGCTATGAGTGGCTTCCAGCTCACCAGCAACTAGTCGTTTGTTTGATGAGTGACTTCTCAGGAGAAAGATGAGAATTCTCCCGTTGTAATTTGCATTCTTGGAGGACTCTATGGAAGGTGGCTGTGAGTCAGAATAGACTCTGTAGGGGTGAGTTTGAGTTTCCCTTTTTCCTGAGATTTTGTGTTCCAGCATGTCAGAACTGACTAATAGCTGACCTTCCAGTAGGTTTTTAGAGGCGGTAAATATCATGAGAAATTGCCTATCTTTATCCTGCATATAACAGCTAGTAAATTTGAACTGTATACCTTTGAGTATGCAACATCATACCGCTAAGTGACCAGAGCTCCCTTTTCCTAAGTATGTAACCTAAAAAACATACATAGATCTGTATGGACTATCTTTCATTTAGAAAACAATTCATTAAATACTTGTTAAACATTTTCCAGGCATACAATAGAAGCCCCGATCACATAGTGAATTAAATATTGGGCTGCTAACCAAAAACCTGTAAACTACTCTATGGGAAACAGATGAAGTAGTCTTAGCCTGTTAAGATTTACAGCCTCAGAAACCTAATAGAGGGTTGTTGTTATGTGCCATCGAGTCGCCTTCGACTCATAGTGACGCTATATACAATAGCCCTAAATACTCTGCTCTATCCTAAGTCAATCTCATTGTCTCCGACACACCTACCCCCATTACCCCAGTCACTGAATCAGTCCATCTCATGAGGATCTTCCTCTCCTGCACTATCCCTCCACCCTCCTAAGCATAAAGCCCCTCTCCAATGCCTTGTCCCTCCTTGCAACATGTCCAAAGTATGTCAGACAAAGCTTCAGAATCCTTGCCTCCCAGTAGCAGCCTGGTTTAACCCTCTCTAGGATGAACCTGTTCATTCTCTTAGCAGTCTATGGTATACTCAGTACTCTTCTCCAACACCACAGCTCAAAGGCATCAATTCTATCATCCCTAGAGATTATCCAGACGCATAGCAAGTGATTGCAAAGACCATGGCCTGTGCTTTGTGCACCTTAGACTCCAGACTGACATCATTATTCTTCAGTACTTTGGAGAGATCTCTAACAGCAGACTTTCCCAACACAATATGTCTTTTAATTTCCTGGCTACTGGTGCTAAGAGTGTTGACTGTGGAGCCAAGCAAACTAAAACTGCTTACAATCTCAATCTCTTCACCATCCATCATGATGCTGCCAGTCGGCCCAGTAGTGAGAATCTTTGTTTTCTTGATATTGAGTTTGAATCCATATTGAAGGCTGTGGTCCTTGACCTTTTGCAGCAAGTGCTTCAGGTCCTCCTCAGTTTCAGCAGAGTAATGCATAGGCATATAAGGCTGAGTGCCTGGTAATATGCTAAAGCCTATTTGCCTTACTGTATTGAAAGTGCCATTAGATAGAATTAGGGTACCTCTTTGAGAAAAGGATAGTGAAATTTTGTCTCAGCTACTTTGAGAGGTTTTTAGAAAAAGACATATAATACTGGAAAAGGTGAAGAGTCAGAGAAAGAGGGGAAGGCCCTCAACAAGATGAATTGATACAGTGACTGTAACAGAACTCGAGTATATTAGAGACGATGAGGATGGCAGAGGATAGGACAAGGTTCAATTCTGTTTATAGGATCACCTTATAATAGCAGAGACTGATGTGTGTCAGAAAAGGAATGGGATTATCCTTACTCTTCCATTACACAGGGAACCCTGGCAGCATAATGTGTTGTTAATATTGGGCAATTAACTCTTAAGGTTCAAATTCACCAACTGCTAAAGGAGAAAGAGGAGTGTCTGCTTTCACATTTACAGGACTTGAAAAACCTGATGGAAGCTCTCCACGAGTTTAAATAGTCTGGGAATGGGTTTGACTTTTTTGGTTCTTTCTCTCTACATTGGGGAAGTGAGGGAACAGAAAAATTCTATCATTGCCATTTTTTGGCAATCTAAAGTTCTTCATGCTTTACTTTTCTAATCAAAAGACTATTTTCTCAGTTTAGCTGATTTCAGAAAATAGTTAAAACAGGAACTGAGAAGAACAGAAGGTGGGAAAAAAAAAAACCAGGAACTGAGATGATGAACTTCTTGGTAGCGGTGGTGTTTTTAGGTGCCGTCAAGTTGAGTACAACTCATAGCGACCCTATTAAAAAAGAAATTTAAGCCCTCTCCTTTGCCAGTCCTCATCATCTCTGGTACATTTGAGCCCATTGCTGCCATCACTGTGTTAATTCCATCCTGTGAAGGGTCTTTCTTTTACTGACCCTCCACTCTTCCAAGCATGAGATGGCCAGGTATAAATAATAGTTTCAAAACTGTGTAAACCAAACACACACAAGTTCCCTGTGTTCATTCCCTTCTGACTTACCCTGTTTTGGAATTCCAAGGCTATAAATCTTTTTAAGAAGAGACTGCTTCATCTTTGTTCCTTCACCTTACTGACCTTTCAATTAGCAGCCTCACATATGGCATGACCAGAGCTCCTTTGAAAAATCCGGAAGTTTATAATTTTGGTTTATGTTTTTAGGATTGTTAGCTTCTTGTATAACATTACTTAATATAGATGAAAATATTCAAGAAGAAAAAGGATAGAAATATAAGGGTGGTAAATCTGGTTTCAGTTTGTCACATGCTGATGATATTCAATAGCAGGAAAAATATGGTAGACCTTAATAATATGCTGCTTTGTGAAGTGGTTCAGTGTTGATCAATTCTTTTTGCTATGATAAATCTGTATTCCTTCTATCTTCTTTTAATGCTTCCTGCATCATTCAAGATTGTGTCTATGTAATCGTTCAGGATTGCAGCTTGAGGCCTGAATTTATTTTTTAGTAGTTTCAACTTGAGAATGCCAAGGGAATTCTTCCCTTTTTATTCTCCGGCGAATTCCAGCTCTGCACATCCATTGTAATAAAAATTATGTATTTGAATAATGGTTGAATTAATAAGACTTTCTCGTATATATGTGGATAGTGCCTATCACTGATAGCATTGTATTTCAGGATAGATCTCGAAATGCGCTTTTTGACAAATGAATACCATACCATTCCTCTTCAGTCTCTTGTTTTAGGCGTAGTAGATCATGTTTTTATCTGATTCAAAATGGCCAAAACCAAGTACATTTTAGCGTACTAATTTATCGGGGATCCAGCCCCGATATGTCGGGAGAATTCCGCCAGGAGGCACCAGGTTGAGATGAAGACGCAGAGAGACTATCCGATGATGTCGAATGTTGTTGTTATGTGCCGTCGAGTCGCTTGCGACTCATAGCGACCCTATGTACATCAGCCCTAAACTCTGCTCTGTCCTGTGCCAATCGTACTCTCTGACACTCCCATCCCGATTATCCCAGTCACTGAATCAATCCACCTCATAGAGGGCCTTCCCCTCCTG